GGGTGCAGGTGGGAGACGCGGGTGGTGGGCGGCAGCCAGTGCCGGGTGGCCTCGCCGTGAACCCCAACTGGAGCGCAGGGCCCTTACCTGCCGTTGTGATGGGCCGTCACGCCCGCCATGGGCACGTTGGGGCAGTGCGCAAAGAAGACCAGGATGGCCAGCAGGCTGGTCAGGGAGCAGGTCAGGCAGAACTTGATGATGCTCGAGCCACGGAGCTTCAGCTTGTTCACAAAGAAGCCGCCCAGGAAGGTGCCGCCCCCACCCGCCGGCACCACCAGGTACCCTGTGAGAGGGGGGCGGGCTCAGCCAGGGCTCGGGATGTCCTGGGAGCCTGCGGTGGGCCCTGATCCTGCCGCGTCTTATTACCCCTACTTTACAGGTGGGGGAACGGAGGTGCAGAGCCATCCCTGTCCAGATGGCAGCGCTGGGCTCGCAGTGGCCGGGGCCTGACCAGCGCTCTCTGCTGCTCCCTGCCACTGGGGAGGAGCAGAGGTCCACGGCGCTTGCCCACCCACGGCCTCTGCCCAGTCCAAACGCGGGGGCCATTGGAAGCCTGTGGCCCTGGCATTCAGTGTGAAGTTGAGATTAGGTGATGGGAGTGGGGGCTCCAAGGGGCAGTGGGCAACCTGAAAGCCCTCGGGGCTCAGGGGGCCCATCTCCCCAGCACTGACCAAAACCAGCTCTGGGGGTGGGAGAGGGGGTTCCAGAGGACATGGCTGTTCCAGGGGCGTCAGTGCAGGGAGAGGGGCCCTGTGGGGAAGGGAGGCGGTTGTGGGTGGGGGTCTGGATATGTGGAGCCGGCTGAGAGGTGGCGTTAGTCAGAGGAAGGGGGTGAGGTCCCCTAATCTGATGGCTCCCCCACATGTTGGGAATGGAAACCTGAGAGGTGCACGGTGGGAGTGGCCTGGGTGCTGCTCAGCTGCTCCCCATCTTGCACTCGTGGCTGACCTTGTGCCCTATGACCGCCCCCCCCGCCGCCCCGCCAGGCGTCTTCTCAGCCAGGTGGAGGCTGCCCCATGGGCAGCAGTGGGAGGAGGCTTCTGAGGAGGAGCCACACTCTCCTGGGAGGCTGCCTGCTCTGGCCAGAGCGCCTGCGGCCGGGAGGGCCCTCTGAGGCCCCAGACACTGGTGCCTAGCTCAGGGGGCTGATGCACGCCGAGGTCCTGGGTGGTGAGTGGGAGGTGCCGGCAAGCTGGAGCCCACCCCGGCCCTCCCAGCTAGAGAGGGCCCCCGCCAGGAGGGCAGGCGGCTCC